CTTCCTTCCTCTCCTTCCTCTCACAGATCAACCAGCTGGACAATAACCAATCCGGATTCAAAAGTGGCCATACCGCCTTGCCCGCCTTGCTGTCAGTCACTGAAGCGCTACAGAGGGCAAGAGCTGAGTCCAAATCTTCAGTTGTCATTCTGCTAGATCTGTCTGCGGACCTCATAGGTAGGTCCTTCAGGGTGGCTTGGGGAGGAGAGGTATCCAAATCACATCAGCTGGTCACTGGGGTTCCTCAGGGATCAGTTCTAGGACCGCTCCTCTTCTCTATATACACTACATCACTGGGACCCATCATACAGGCACATGGCTTCTCCTACCATTGCTATGCTGATGACACACCGCTCCATCTCTCATTTTGACCAGATGATCCAACGGTACCTGCTCGGATATCAGACTGCCTGATGGTAGGGCTACACAGTTAATCGAAATTAAATCACAAAGGCGATAAATCGTGATTAGGCAGAAGCTGCGATTGTCATGCGTATCTTTCAGTGAAGCAGGGTTCTGTGATCAGCAGTAAATCTCCATCTGAAGGCCAGAGAAACTCCAAATACACCCTGCAGAAGAAGCCCAGGCAATCCCTATAGCGATTACTGAATAAACGAGTAAAAGCATGTTATTAAATGTGGTATTTTCAGATGGAGCAGCATTTACTTCACAGAGCCGTAGTTCACGGAGAAGCTACGCAAACAGCTGTCATTATCGTGAATGATTTCTTCAATTTCATAATCGTACGATTATATCGTCTGTGATTATGAACGCGATTTTGCGTAGCTTGTCAGTGAACTACAGCTCTGTGTAGTAAATGCTGCTCCGTCTGAAAGCAGGTGATGGAGATTTACTACTAATCACAGAACCGGCTTTACTGACGAGATGTGCATGACAATCACATTCATTAATCGTGCAGCGCTAGTCTGACGGACATCTCAGCACGGATGAAGGAACATCGCCTGCAACCCAACCTGGCAAAGACAGAGCTTCTCATCTTCCCAGCCACCCCATCAGTACAGCACCAGTTTACCATCCCACTGAACTATCAATGATAACCCCACCGTCCAGCTCGGCCAGGAATCTGGGGGTGATCCTTGATGATCTGCTGACCTTTAAAAACAGCTCGATCGTGCAGGTTTGCACTACACAACATCAGGAAGATCAGACCCTGCCGAACAGAGCACGCAGCACAGCTTCTGTCCAGGCCCTCGGCATTTATAGACTAGTCTACTGCAACGCTCTTCTGGCTGGACTTCCAACACGTGCAGTCCTTTCTATCTTTATCCCTTTCTGTCCTAGCTTTCACACTAGAACGATGACTGAACCCTTGTATAACAGGCACTTCTCGTGTGTATTACATTAGCACTGGCTTCCCATAAAAAGAACCGAACAGGGACCAAAAACTGGGAACGTTCTGTTAGCTGGGATGTCACACAAAATATTGTAACAATTTAGTTTATGCCACTTTCATATGATTTGTCTTAATTTAATGCGTAATAAGAACATAATAATGAATGAAAACTTTAAGTATAGGGTCATCTCAGTTCCAGCATCAGTATTTGTGATCTCAACAGGTCTGTAAACGTGTGATTACTACATTACTCTATTACTAATTACTCTAATCACATGAGATTCTTCAGAAACATCACTCATTTCTGTACATTTTAATGAGGATCAAATGAGTTCAGCTTTGAGAAAGAAACCAACCTGTTTGTTCCTCCGTGTTTTCATGTTTCAGACTGAACACTTCTTCAATCCTGAAGTCTATACTCTCCTCTTTAATAAACATCATCTTCAGCAGTTTGTCCTGCAGATGTCAGGAGTTTCTCTGAGCTTGTCCTGTTTGAGAGAGAATCATTCACAGACACACTAATAAACATAAACTACATCTCTGAGTGATCTGGAGAATATAGTTAATAGACTGCATGTTCACAGCTGGTTTGTAAAAGTTGTGCTTTTATCACACAAAACGTGTTTTGCATTGTTTTGTTGAGTTTGTCTGGTGACTCGAGCGACTCTGAACACAGAATCGTTTTGACTCAATTGACTCGGAGTCGGTGAATGCGTGTTTGTGATGAACTGATTCACAACACAGAGAGAGAAATGAGCCGCGCTGTTCTTTTCTGTTACTCGTGTGCTCACAGAAATAACGTGCGTTAGCGGTAGATAAAGCATTACGATGCTGCAGTCAAGAATAATCATTTCATTTACATCGCCCGTTTATATCGATTTAAACACTTTCTCCACAAACCTTTCTTCCGCCGAATCACTACAGCGCAGGCGTGACGTCACAACACCACACCATAATAAAAGTCCCGTTCGCGCATTAAAACGGCTGACGACATCCCGCGGGCGTGGTTTGAGCGCAAGGTCAAGGAGCATGCGCAGTTTACACGACCTGCGGAGTTCTGGACTGCATTTCAAACCAGAATGATTATCACGTCTAACCACAGTCTATGCGTCTAACATTAAACAGTGGGGAAGAAAAAACTCACGTGGCACCTTGATAATTGGGAATATATTTCATATCACTGTTGGTCTCTCTCTCTCACACACTTACAAATAAATACATTTATATTATGCTTTTATATATTTATAATTTGTATATATAGTTCGCACCCTGCTCATAGCTATTTAAACGATGTCCTTATTAGGTTTCTGGGCCTTGACCGTGGTGGGACCCTTGCTGTCTCTGCAGGGTCAGAAAGCTGTTGGATTTCATCAAAAATATCTTAATTTGTGTTCTGAAGATGAACGAAGGTCTTACGGGTTTAGAACGACATGAGGGTGACTAATTAACGACAGAATTTTCATTTTGGGTGAACTAACCCTTTGAGATAGCATCTAAATAACAATATGATGGCTGATAAATGGGCAAAATCTAATTCTGTTGAAGTGAAATATGTACAGTATGATACTACACACAAAAAAAATACTTAACAGTTTATGAGGATTCATATCTATGTAGATATCATTACTTCCTGAAAGTGCGTGCGTTATGGACACTTGCATGTTTGGAGCATCTGCTGCCAGAAGTAATTGCCTCTCACACGGATCGGAAGGAAAATCCTTTTCATTTGAGAGAACACCACCTTAAAATAAAAGACATCAAGAAAAAGACACAATATACTGACAAATATGAACACTGTAAGATTTACGCTCGTCATAATCAGCTTTTCAAGCATCCAGGAGTCAAATCTGTAGGCAGAGATATTGAAACAGTGGTATCCAGCGTTGGCTTTGCTGTTGTTTTCGAGCTTCAAGTGTCCAAATATGCATTTATCACCCGTGACAAACAAGAAAGAATCTTAGCTTTGGAGATTTGACTAAGTGTATAAAACACTGAACCTGTCATGACACCTGCTTCTTCTTCATCATGTAACCAGTCCACAGACAGACAATCTAACTTTCTCACGCTTGTTCAGCTCTGTCAAATAATACCACAGTTCACATTTCACATGCAATAACACCTCAATTAGTTAACTTCCCCTAGTTACAGTATAATACATCACCAGGCAGAACTATTGTAGCACAGTCTGTCAGCCAGTTTTCCTTCAAAGAACCAGACTGGTCGACCGTGTCTCCTGTTACATAAAATAAGATGCATTAAACGACGTCTTTTAAATTGGATGCAGACAGCAGTTCTACCCTTAATGATCTTACCACTGTTTCTTTTCTCAATTTTTCTTCTTTTGGCTCTCAACTTTCCTTTTCTCTTCTGGGCTGGGAGCACACAAAGTTTCAGCTTCACGTCATCTTTCTTGCCTAGAAGTGTTAGAGCATCTTCCTTTGAGAGCATTTCATCTCTCCTGCAATCCATCGATGACTGCAGTCGCATTTCACAGCAGCTCGAGATCAGTGCATGGGTATGACGGATCCAGGAGCATTTTTAATTTCTCTCGTAGATCACTCCATTTGCCTCCACATCTATCTCCAAGCACTGGATGCACAGACTGGCTCTTCTCAATCACTTCATTCAATTTGAAAAATGCCTTTCTAGCCTCCCTTTACAGTCAGTGTACATGAATGCATAACAGTCACTGTGTCTCTATCATGTGCAGACGCTACACTACGACGCAGGCCGAGACGTTCACTGCGGTCCTGATCAGAGAGACGGCTCTTGCCTGCAAGCTACATCTAAATGACTATTACTTTCTAAAATGTGAACACTACTCATATATAATGCACATGCAATCTCTCGCATTTGTCCTGTAAAACCCCTTTTTACACAACATCACTGTTTCTCCATTAATAAGCATGGAGGCATTAGCAGAGAAGGAAGAGCGGAGTGACTGATACACATTAAGCTCAGTAGGATTTAGTGATTTACGCCATACTCTCTCTGCAGCTCTGAGCTTAGAACGATGCTCACGGAGAACATCAGATACATACAAGACTTAACAATACATTACTTCTTATGAATACAGTAAACAGACAAATGTGAGGTTTGTAATTGCAAAGAAAATGTAGAGCACATATTAATTAAATGCAAGAAATTCAGAGAAGAAAGAGAAAAACTTAAACGAATCATTATAAAAGTTGGAAGGGAATGGGACATGAAGTTACAGCTGAAGTTACCCGAGCAATAATGAGTTTGTTTGCGAGACAGTGGCTTAATTAGAAGAATTTAAGATCACAATGACGTCATGATGTTACGCACTCCAATATAGTAGGTGGCAGTATGCACCTTAACGTTGGTTTGTAACCGCTAGAAAACTAGAAGAAGAAGAACAGCGCAAGTACGGCGGAAGATGAAAGGTAACACTTCCGGAAACATTTGCGCGGAGGCTAGTGGAGGATGCTATCAGCGTTTGTTTGAGCATCAGTCTGATTATTACAGGACTACACCCGCTGCATTCCTCGGATTACTGACGGATATGATCGCTGAAGGCGACTGAGGCGTGGAATGCAGAGAAACGTGCGCGGAAGTGAGAGGAAGTGACCGGAAACGGCGGCAGCTTTTGTTCACGTAATAAACAAGCATCTGAACGCGCTTGTGTTTGTGTCCCGAGCAATGAGCCGCTGACGGACGCAGACAGGATTCGACCCGTGATCATGATCTGACGCTCGGCCCGTGGTGCAGCGGTCACTCATGGCGCTCTTCCGCGAGTTCCAGGCTCCGCCGGAGTGTCCGGTGTTCGAGCCCAGCTGGCAGGACTTCAGCGATCCGTTCAGCTTCATCCGCAGGATCCGAGAGATCGCCGAGAACACGGGCATCTGCAAGATCCGACCGCCGCAGGTACCGTAACGGCGATTTACCATAGTACAGCACAGTAAAACACCA